ACTCATTAAATCTAGGACTACAAACATTTGATTACCATGACGGATCTGCAGAATCATGCAACGAGCACGTCAAAAAAATGGAAATAATGGCAACGATCGTACGCTTGCCTTTTAAGAACGCTGAACCGACATTTACGATTAGGAACGTTCTGAAAAGTTACAATATGTTTGTAAAACACATTATCCTCTTTAAGAGACACGGAACTTTCAAGTATTATGTTGCTTGTTGTGACAATACACAACTTTAAAAAAATGTTATCTACATATCCGCCGAAATACGAATACAAAAACTATTCATCCTGACCAACTAGTGCAAAAAGATTAATGAAGTCAGACATTGTCAACATTCCATTCTGAAGATTATATTTCTTTCGAAAGACTCGAAAATGTCATGCCACAGCAAATGCCACAACTCCCTTTTTAACGTGTTTAGAGTCTAAACTTTAAAAATGTCGTACGGCAACCTCAAATGCTAGCAGCTTTTCATTTTTCTTTCGCAAAACAAAATAGATGTTATATTCGTTTTAGAAATATATTTTACAGGAATAACTTCGTTAAATTGAAAAATTATATTGTATTAAATTATAAATGGCAACAATCGTGACAAGCACTTGGGGACACTGCTATCGTCTTAAAAGTGTATAAATCACCATGAATATAAGTAGTTTCTAGATACACAAGCCACTATCCTAAGAATCACATATTGCTGTGATTCTATACAGTGCATCTTCAGATACTACAAAAAGTATTTGCATCCACGCAATTGTATAGTATTCTGTAAACAAAACCAAACAAAAGTATATATATATATATTTAATACAGAATTCAGAACCTCTGTTAAATACAACAAAACAATATTTCCTTCTCGTCAAAGAAGTATTTCAACACCTCCAGGAGTAAACAAAAATAGACGGTGAATGCATTTGCATCAAAACAGTCGCCGTGGCAGCAAATCCGCGAGTTCTTGCACGTAAGCAGCCTTGCTTTGGTCGATACCCAAAGCTGACAGTCGCTGCTGCGAGATTGATCGCCAATAGCTCGGTGTCAACGGACTCACGGAGGCAAATTATTTCCTCCATCTGAACAGCGTAATTTTCTCTCATCAGAAAAATATTACACTCAGACAAAATTTTGGGAGTTTGCTGAGATATGCTTTGGCAAACTAATCGTTTTTTGCGTTTTTTTCTGAAACCAATACCTTTTTTCTCGGGCTTTTACCATGTAGTCTCGTCTCATATCATACAATACATTGCGTATTGGTTCGAACACTAACCTAGTTGCCCGGCCTTGTTTTATTGTCTGCAGATGGAGCTCTAGAATTTGAGAACGGTTTCCTCAGTGTTTTCTAAACGTTAAACCGTTGATTCTGCAGGGCAGCGCTCTTGGCCTTTCATAAAGGGATTTATTTTCTAGGGAGGCACATTCTCGGTAGTTCTCGATTACATAACTTACAAAGGAGTCACGCTTCGACCCTACTATTCTAATGTTGCAGTATCTTTTGGCTTCCCAATGCAGTTTGTGTTCAACTTAGTTTCTTGGAGATCTTATCTTCTGATAATGAGTCATGTGTCCGTTCGAGTCTTTCCTAATGTAAACCTTGAATTTTAGGAATTACTGCTAAGAAGACTCCGATTAACAAATTACGTCGATTTTACCCTGTAGATAGAATTAATTCTTTTTCCTATCTAATAGATGACTGGTAAATAAATGTGCGGGCCACGCGCTGTCTCTTCATATGTACATTCTATTTCATGAATGTTTGTATATCATTATCTTATTGAGAGGAGAATTTTGATCTCTATCCATATACATTCAACTTCATCCTCAAGTACTTAAGGCACTCCTCAAGAATGTATGTTATCAGCTGTCTGATAATAATTTACAACTGTCTGAACTATGTAATAAGAAGAGATACGCACAGCCATCTGCGAATCTTTCCGGACATTTTTCAACTCAAAAAGATGACGTAAGTCGACGATAACATTGTAAACTGGCATACCATGTGGCCTCAGAGTGAAACCATATGAAGATTGCTGGTAGCTCAGCCGGCCCGATCGAGAAAAGCTCGTTTGTGAACGCGTTAGTGCGGCGGAGAGCTCGCGGAAGAGAAGCACCTTCGACTCGCCTTCAACTCATACTAAAGAAGTCAACAAAAATATGTATGGAAGACAAAATTTGATAGTGCAGCTCAGTATTCCATTGCCCATTCCCCTTCCTCCACCTGCCCATCCTCATATATTGTTTTTAAATCACCATCGGCATTCATCTCGTATTGAGGAAAATATTAGAATTGCAATCAGACCAGTTTCCCTTTCCTTAATCTATTCATGTCTTTGCTTGCAGTCGTCGTTTCCATTCGTGATTTTAAAAATCTGCCTTTGATTGACGGGAACTAAAAACTAAATAAGCGAGGCAATTCATTGTTTTTGCTAGTTATAATGTCAACAGTTGAAGTCTAATGGAAACATTAATTCATGTAACATGAACTATGAATAAAATGAGTATTCAGAAGCCAGTACATCCGTTGTGTAAAGATACACAAAAATACTTTCAATTTTAATAATTCAAAACTTTTAAAACTTCCATTTAAAAGTCCTTCAAATGTTATAATGCCGGATCTATACCATAACAAACGGGCCACTCCTCTCTCCTTACTTACACACACATACACACCGCTCCACGCACTTGAGTGTGCATGTTACTGTGTGTGTACGGGATGAGAATAGGACAAGGAAGAAGAAGGAAAGATTGCGTGCGGTCCGTGGTCCGTTTGTTAGGACACTTCTCCGGCAATCGCCTGGTGTCAGAGCCAGCCGCTAGAATTCTCTGCAACTGGAGCAACCAGAGTGAAAGCAAGTACCGTTCAAGGCTGGAAGGGAGGAATGAGAAGGACCTATCATCGGGAGGTCTGTTTTGAATTGATATCTAAATTTCTCATAGCTGCGCTGTATCTTCGAAATTTCTCTTATGGCATTCTCTTATGGGAGAGAGAGGGGGAACCCACGGCCCGTCCGTAACCAATCGATGAGTTAATGTAGATTTTGGGGAGCGAAGGCCTGAGACTATTTTAAAGTTAGTCATTTGCAATATCAATATTGTTGCCTGAGAAATAGAAACTTTTTGTGAAGTTTAATATTAAAACTTTTGTAAGTGCGGAATGATAGAGAAGTGAGGCGTTTCAGAGATTTTAGTTGATATTTCAATAGTAAATACAAATCTTGTGTAGTAAGTTTTCGTCAGTTTCGAGTGAAGTCACTTTTACGAGCTAAAGACTTTGTTTATATTTTTAAGTACTCATTTATATCAATTAGTAATGTTGGTGATATGTGATCGATAAATAAGTGAATCGATATTTTCGTGTATTATAAACTGATAGTAACATTTTTGTGCGGCAGATTAAAAGATACCTGCGCAAACTATGAAATTTGCAAAGATTAAATTCTATAGGTAGATAGAATAAAATATATTACAATAGAGCTGATATTCATCCTCTATTTTCGTATGTTGCCTGTTTTTATTGAAGTTATTATTGTCAAGTTATTTGAAAAATACAACCTGTTAATCATGGCTTTGTTTTCACTGTCTGGCAATACGGCTAAAATCTAAACACTTCATTGTTTTATTGGATTTGGACGTGATAATGCACGCTTTCTAATAACCGAGTTTCTATTAAGCGTTGAAGCTGGTAATCGAGTTCGTCGGCAACCCGACCTTGAATAGGAAAGCCGGTCTTTAACACCTGGACGACTCATCATCTCACTGATTCAAGATGATTACAGATGTTTCAGGTTGCATATGAGAGTATCCTTCCATCACAATATCAATTTCAATTTTTTTCATCTTAAGTCTGTTTGAAACTTCGTCTGGGGAAGAAGGAAATTTGTATTATCCAGCAGTATCACGCATACAAGATTTTGTGACGATGGTGTCTTATAAGTGGCACAATACTGACACAAACGCTCCAGTTCATCCCCTGCACTTGTGAAAGTGGTCCACAATTCTCTATCACGATTTATAAAGCCAATATCTACCAATCGTGTTTACGAAGACTCAGTTGGGGTTTTGGCGGGTTTCTAGCAAAGACAGCATCTACGCAGACAACAAGCTCCTGTGGAAGTGACTTGGCTGTAGATACAATAGAGCAGCGAGCAGTGGGCCGTGTAAGGCGCGTGAGGGGAGGGGGGCGACTGAACGGCCTGCAGCGGCGGCAGGGGAGGGGGCGGATGTGGGGCCGCTGCGGCTTCGAAAGGGCACGCGCTGCTCGGCCGCGCACATGGCAACGGGCAGTGGGCCCGGCCTCGCGGCCGCTTGCCGTCGGCGCACGTAGACCGCTCCACTTCGCAGGGGAGATGACAGATATCTAACAAAGGTAAACGAAAAATAACACACTTTTTTTTTTTACTGAAGGCTTGTTATTGCCTTCGATGCGGAGCTCGCTATACACTGCATACGTTACCTGGATCGAAAGGAAGGTGGTTATGAGGGAAATATGAAAACAGTTGAATGCTACTACATGTTATCTTATAGAGGGAATTATGAAAAGACAAACTGAGTCATGTTTTCATCTAGTTAATAAGTAAATCTGAATAAATAGCAATTGGAAAACAAAATTATGTACGAATACCGACAAAAAAGGGCGGACGCTTAGGCACAGGCGACAAAAAAAAAGCCGGGCATTTTGGCATTTTGTCGCCACTCGATCGCTATAACACTTATAACATCTTAGGTGCATAATTACTATTCTTTTCTACTATTTCAACACTTTTATATTTTATTTCCCCTCACTCAAAAGTGTTTTGGATAAAAATGATGGGAATAATCCTATTTTGATTACCAAAAATATATTATGGAAGTAGGTACACGCACAGGTTCACCGGTATTATAAATTATTTTTATCACGCCCATGTCCACATAATGTAAACAATTAACGCCAAATTGTAAGAATTTTTTTGATATAAAAAACGTAATGGACATGCAAATATTACTTACTTAATGGAGAATCATTGGAGCAAAGATCGCAGCGATGCAACAGGTCTTTTATTGTCCCTAAAGGGATGCAGATTTTCGTCGGTGTATTCGTTCTGAAAGAAGTCACTTAATGAGGCTCATTCTGAAGACAGGCAACTTGAATGACTGATGCCAACTCTCATAATAGGATCATTCAGGATCTGTTATGAGGTTTCAAAAGTGAGCCGACAATTTAGGCCAGGGGTTCTCAAACTTTGTAGAGATATCCCTCACTCAAGGCAAAAAGTATAACGAACTTCACGATTAAATTTCATTAAATAACAGGTTTTACGTATGTAACTTGAAAAACATTATTAAGACCGTTTTTTAAAAGAAAATTTCTTTTCAATTTACATAGTCAATAATTACCAAAAACTAAATTTTTAACATACCATAACTAAGTATTAAATGTATTTTTGAATGATTACGGAATGGAATTTACGTTAATACTATTTATTATAATAGCTAATACTGCACTCAGATGCAAGATAATTATTCAGATTTAAATTGCTTGCAAAATTGAAATTTAACGTATGCTCAAACTTTCCGAGTAAGTTGTTACTTTCTTATTTAAATCTTCCTAAGAAACGTTTTCACGAAATCCTGCTTTGCACTCTTGGGGGTACCCGATCTGCTGTTTGTGAATTTCTGATACACATAGCAAAATCGAGATAACGCTGGCTTGCACAATTAAAATATTTGTTTTTATCTAACTGCAAAATCAAAGACATGACGAGGAACCAGACATTCTTTAGAAATAATTAAATTTCAAATTGTATGGGTTAATTCACTCCTGTGTCAGTTGTTTTAGTTCAGATCTTCGTTCTTACAATTGCCAGATTTTACGGCATTTCTGACTAGCTTTAGTACAAAATCCTAAACCCCTAAAATAGGCATAGCAGTTAAAAATATTTGGTTTTGGCTAATTAATTGTTTGATAAAGTTATTGACAAAATCGTCTCGATCTAAATAACTTTATTGAAAGTATGCGAGTACTACATTGGCACATCCCCCGCCCCGGGCCATTGCTGAGAATTCTGAGAATTATTTTGCACTAATGAACGTCCAGCGTTACAAGGTACCGATAGAGACTCATGACTTCAAGAAGGGGCGCCAGCCAACAATACGCACTAGCAAAGATTTCATTCAAAAATAAAGGCAACTATTATTTATCCTAAGACTTTTCAGTTTTCCTTTTTTCATATTTAGTTTTAAAATTATAGAACGATAAAATAAAAAAATATACGGTTTGATCATCTCGAACAACAATACCGGCTTAGATATCACGGGGCATCAGCCGATGTCACGGGACCATCTGACCGGGAAGCCCTAGGGTTCCGGTCCCGAAGATGGCAGGATATCCCACACAAGCTGTAATATCTAGTTGAATTCAAACATAGTCTGGAGGAGAATCTTTTATCCCTGCAATCTTTAAATCACACGTTGCTTTCTAAAACTCTCTGGTTGATTGCGTGACCAATAAATAACACGTCGCGAACAATGTAGAATTGCGAACGTACCGCAGAGAAGTGCAAGCGTGCCGCAGACGTAGGACGTAGAGCGCTCGCAGCTCCAGGCCCAGGGCGCAGGAAGAAATCTCGAAGGAACCAAGGAACCAAGGCCAGGGTTTTGCCCAGGAATTTTCAAGTTTCAATTGATTCTGAATCTATGACTTCATCAAAAACAAAATTAGGTTAAGCTAACAGGTTTCTCGAGAGATGATATTATCTCGGTTTACAGCTTTCTTCATCCACCGCATATATTTCTTTCATGCGGTATTTCACGGTTTCGCTTGTTTACTTACTCGGCTTACTGCGTGATTACGTAGTAAAAAGGTGGTTTTGTACAGCGGAAAGTGGCTATTTTTCGCCAAGAAAACTCGTGCTGTGGAGCCCTAATATCGAAAAAGTGGATAAATCGTGTTACCATATCTACAAATTACTTCCTCTTCCTCTCTTGTGTAATCGGAATCTACGTTTCAAGGAGGTCTTGATACCGAAAAATGCGTTTGCGCAAAAACGCCTCTCTATCCGTGTGTGGTCAACGGTAGCGCCTAAACCTTTCAGATGATTCTCTCCGAAACTGATATTCTTCGATCGATTTGGCCGAACTCTAGGCACTGCGAATTTGAAAAGTATATTTTATTTTCTGAGGGATGAAGTCTGTAAACTTTGAACATTTTCTGAAAAAAGACTACATTTTTTAATTTCAATTTTCTCTCGAAGAGTGCAAAGTACGATTATAAAAATAGCTTAAGTCTCATTTTCAGTTAACTTTGTATTTTCGGTACTAGCAAAAATTTCACATTGCAAATCTATAAAATTGATGCTAGTATTTTTTTAAATAAAATCTATCCTAATAATTAGATCTTTTAATAAGTTAATGTGAAATTCTTTTTTAAAAAAGATTAGATTTATAATATTAAAGTAGTTTATTAAAAAGTCACACAAACGCCTCGATTTTTTTTCTATAATTTTTCTCCTCAGATAGAGCAAAGTGCTGTTACAATATTGCAAGTCTTCTTTTCGTTGCACGACCACCTTCGAAGAATGCAAAATTTACAAATAATGCGAGAGAGTACGTGCCGTTTTATCACTACTAGAGCAGCTAGTATTCTCCATTACGTTTGAACTTGAAACTTAAACAAAGTAATATTATGTTTATTTTCATATTTAAAAATCTTTAAGAAGTTTAGACGGACTATTGTAAATCGTTGGCGCACGAGTAAAATGATAATAGGATACCAAAAATCGTTATTTTTAACTTAACCAAAGGAAAAATATTCACGAAATAGTAAATATTTCATTTACGTAGCTTATTATAATACTTTGTCTTTGGCCGGCAAATTAACTACTCCAGTCGGAATAACCAGGTGTTTCCATGAAATGACAGTCTTTTAGATATAGTACTTTTCCTGTGAATCGACGATATGGCATTAACACTTCTTTTCATTCACATATCCACATGAATCAGTCACATGTCCACATCAATATTTTCATCCACACATCCACAGTGGTTTGTTAGCAGTCATTGAGTTTCCACGTTTGTACGATTACTATGATTGCTTTTGAACGTACAAATATACTCTTAAAATTTGTTAATTAATTAGTTCAAATAGTTTTTAATTTGAAAATTCGTTTAATAAATATTTTATCAGTGTAATTTCAAATTGGGTAAATTTATTTTCTTTTTAAATACTCTATACATACGAACTTTTTGTATATTACTTATTATATCCTCTTTTAGTCCTCGGGTCCAAGGACAGGGTGCTAACCTTCAGTGACACGGGCCTGTGTTCGATTCCCGGCCGAGACAAAAGAGCTGTAGATTTCTAACACAAATCGTCTCGGTTTCAGTAGCTGTGTGTCGAAAGAAAGATCAGGCAGGCCAAGAAAGTAGGAACTCTGATGGGGTTACGTTATTTCTCTCTTACCCGCAAATGTCGGATTAATTCGATCCTAACATGCCAAATACATACACACTCGGACTCTTGTGGTGAACTGAAGGCGGAGGGCGCTCGCCCGCTCGGCGCAGGCGTTGGGCCACTGTGCAGCTGTGCAAGCGTCGCGGGGCGTGGAACAGGGGAAGAGGCGGGCAGTGTCGGAGGCCTTCGCGTTGTCCGCTGCACGCGACGCGACGCGACGCGCGACGGCCGGCGGCGAGCGATGGCCAAGCACGGCCACGCATATGATCGAAACGCCCTGCATTAACACGAATAATATTGTTTTTAAAGCTGGCCTGGATAACAGAGGTGGCTAAGAGCGTGCGCCGAATCAGCGCTTCCGACCGAAGGGTCGCGGAGGCGAGACTCGCCTTGGGGGAGGTTATTGGTCTCTTGATTCTCATACAGGTGTTGTCGAGGACGATCTGGGGTTCTGCCGACCCCACATTAGAGGAGCCCGCAAGGTATTAAGTGTCCAGTTTATGCTCGAATATGCGTCCCATCGGGTCGTAAAGGGTAACCGGCTGACGGCTGGCTAAAAGCCCTAGATGCCTAGAAAGATACTAGTGAGACTAAACAAATCGGACTTTCTCGCCCGTACTTACACGCAAAATTACGCGAAAAGAACTCAAATTTTCAAAAAATTGTACATGACCTTTTTTAGAAAACATATCTTTAACGATCAGATTTCATTAATGAAAAACACCTCTAAATTTCAAAAAAGAAATCTCTGTTTTAGTTATCCCGAAATCGGCTGACCCGACAATGACGGTGATAGGCGTCACCAGTGGCGGCTGGTGACAGATTGGAGGTTGCACTTCCATCGAATAACGGAAATGTAACTTCAAAAATTCAAAATACGCATATATGAAGGGTGAAAACAACAACGATATAAGCGTCATTTTATAAATTCTGGAAAACCTATTTATTTAAGTCAATATTACTGTAAAGTCGTGCTGCTTTGTTCCACCATTTAACCACGGCATTTCAGTTGTTCATTAAAATCACGAAAATACAGTGAATTAATTAAAACTAAGTTAAATAAAAGTCTCTATTGAAACATTAGTTACATAATTTTATGCGTCGAGTTCGTGGAAGGTATATACATTTCCAGCACACATGGTTCTGGCTTTGATTTCCATTTACATACATTGCAACAAGCACTAGTGCTTCGACACGTTTTACACAAATAAAATTATTTTAGTTCGAAAATTTCACTACACGTGTGTATGGCAATAATGAAAGAGCTTCGACACACATTCGTATTTACAGGAACACTCGCAAACTCCTGGCCAATGCTGGCCAACCAGGTACAGGCACTCTGGCTTCCCCGAGACACTAACAGACTTCCATCCAGAACGACCACCTTTACACAAAGAACTCATCAAATGTACGTTTGAATCAACAAGCCTATTATCCAATGAAAACAAATTCTCCAAATATCAGAAACAATGCATTGAATATCGTTAATAATTGACAAAACTTGTGTACTTTTAATAACAAGCAAAATTCATAAAATCACGTTGCAGTGAGTGTGACGAAGACAGAATATTAGGATTCCCCCGATACTCCCTCGGTCGCCACCCTGAGCTAGACACCGTCACAGCTGGTTGGGCAAACAAAACAGCCTACGTCGCCCGTGTTAAATCGAAGGTCCAGAGAGTAAATGCAATAAACCCAGTAATACCGTCACGAGAGCGTGGTGCAATACCCGGCAAGGCACCAGACACCGAAAAGAGCGTCAGATAGACGCTCTTTGGTGTCAAAATGATTTCATACGCATCAATATTGTTGCAATATCTTGAACATTGAAAGTAAATGAAAGGAAAATGTATATTCCTAAGATATTATGAGATCTTTTCCGATTATCTGGGAGTTGTGCAACGTAAAAACGAGCCGCCGCTAGGCGTCACAGGTACCATAGATTACATACAACGGTAGACATTACGATATCTGAGGGAAGAAACTGAATAGGCTACTGAGTAATTTGGTGGAGAACATTTGTTGCATCTCGTAAATGTTATCTGTAGCAAGTATAATTAACATGATATTAAAATTGATTAAATCTGCAAAAAAACACTTAAAAATGACGGGAAAAGGTAGAGAATGACTTGTTAGTCGAAATTGACGAAAAAATGCCAAAAATATATAAAAATGGATCATTTGATTTTGTTTTAATATAAAATTAATGACTACACTAAAATGCATTGTTCCAAAGTCAAAAGAAAAGAAATGGCATTACATTAAAATCCGCCTCCTAGTACTTTTCATCCAATAAATGAAATGGAAGATTTTGTTTTTCGCATAAAAACGAACTAGCCGATCTGAACAAAATAGGCATAGTAGTGGGCTCTACTAGGCATACATTCTAGTTGTAGACACGATACACAAGGACCTCGAACAATCAGAACAACAATCGAACCAACGTCCTTTCCTAAAACAACAATTTCAATATTGTTTAGTCATCCCTGTATTTCTTCCTGATAGTAAGTCAAGATCATGAACTTGAAAACGTTTCCGCCTATCTAATGAATCATTGTTCTCACGATTATGGGAATAACGCGTATTATGTCCTAATTATCATAACGCAGTTTGATGAATGCATACTGCAATTATATAATTCATTGCAGTATCTTCATGTTTATAATATTATTTTTGTTTTCATTGATGTCACAAAGTTACATAATTAATTTTCAATATGATACTTTATCTCAGACAGTTAATCTTCAACATATTTTGGATTCACGATATAAGAATAAGAAATCTGTGATTTACGTCTACCTTGAGAGCCAGGCAAGAAAACGTTCTGATTAGGTATGTTCTTTCCTCCTACCCGTCTTGCTCAGTATTGCAGCACAGTATGATGAACTTTATTTATTTTATTATTACTGTGATGTACAGAAAAAAACCCTTCCATATCAAAATTAATTTTATGTCTTGTAGAATGAAAGAATTCAACATTATTTTCTTGTCAGAGGCCACACCTACAGAATTTACAACATCCGATAGTTGACTGAAATAATCCTTCACAGCAGTTCTTTTTTTTTAAATTTGCTGTTGTCCAAGTGGGTTCAGAATTTGTACCAATTTACAATTTTAAAATATGGTGGCCAAAATACTATAAGAAAATTCCAGTGTCAGTAAAAACTGCCAGTCAAGATAAAACAAAAAAAATCTTTCTATCAGTTCTTTTGATCATTTTCGTTATGACGAAGGGTCTCCAGGAATCGTACAGCTTTGCCATTTAACAATGGAGTGACATTCACACGTTTGTTTTATGTCACGATACAAGCACATCCGTTCAAATGACAAATGAAATTGCCTATTCAGGAGGAAGTTTTTGTCTAAAGAGCAAAAAATGTGTGTTGATATAATGCAGGTAACTCCGTGCGTTGATGACGCTAATTTAGAGTTTTTTCAGAAATTTGAAACGTGGCCACAAGAGTGATGAGGGCCAATAAGGGCTGATATTCCATGTTGCACGAAAAAAATAGGTTTAAATAAAACCAGTTTCTATAAATGAGTTTGTTTCGTGTAAAAAATAGAAATCATTACCTCAAAGAAAAATATTATTTGTTAAAGGGGATTATGTCCACTACTTTTAAAGACTTTAAAGACCGTCATTTATATTATATTTTTAGGTGTGCTGCTGTGAAATGTGACTTCAGTAAACAGTTTGATACAGGTATAGGTGTTGTGGTGCGTTACCGTTGGCATTTTTAATGAAATAATTATAAACGTCTACGTCTATCTACGTACTATTGTTGGCAATGACAACGTTTATAATTATTTCAAACAGTTTGATTTTGAATGTAGCAGGTACTTTGAAAACTTGATAGAATGAATAAAAACTGTTTTTAGTTTCTCCTATAAAATTTGTTTTTTGGACTTGGATCCTTTTAACAAATAGCTATTCAAATATACTTTTCGTTGAAAAAGGTTGCGTTCAGTGAATTATTTTTGGTCTTGGGGTCTCTGAGATCCAACGAGCACAGTTACGTTCGAAATTTTCACCAGCACAGTTAATTATTAAAACAATACGGGGTAACCATCAAATTGTCCTTTAAAAGTAAATTTTGGAGACTAAACTCGTACATTTCAATACTTGATTACCCTACGAAAAGTAATGTTTCTTTTCCATCTCATTTTGCTGCAGAAGAGATGATCTATGGGAAGGTAAATTAGTTCTTTCTTATAATATTCAAATTCGTTTAGAATGAATCAGAAATTCTCTGATGCCTTTTGTTTACGAAAATCGCGTTCGATATGCTTCTTACAAATATGCTAAATGAATTGTAATCTACGTGTTAATGAAACAGTAGCGGGGTCTGGCACTAGAAAGAGCTTTCAACCAATTGTCAAAGAAAATCGGATTACTTGACACGTCCTGCCTGCACTGTGATTTCATTAAATGCTCTATCGAAGAAGCCAATTTCAGTCACAGGTGCTCTAATTTCCATTCGTGTTGCCATCTCTTGTAGTAGTCAAACTCGTTTCCACAACAGAGCTTTCTTCTCGGGGAGCTTGTTTCTCTTCGTAAAATGTTTACGGTTGGGACACAGGGAAAACGCACAAACGTGTCGGTCGTGAAGATATCAAAGTACAAGGATCAACGTGGAAAGGTGTCACTTTTAGAGCTCGGTCCGTTGCCACATGAGATGGCTTGGTGAGGTGTTTAATGGCATGGCACCGGCATCGCGTGTCGAGTTCCTCTGCGCATCACATAACAGGACGATCACATTCAAATCGAAGAAAACGCTCTCAGTGGACTAGTTCGAGCGATGGAGTTATGAACGAAAGCGAACGAAAAGTGAAATTCGCAAATACTTACACGCTTTTGTTACGAGGGAGGTTTTAACTGGATGAGTGCTGACATTCGCTTCTTTGTTACGATTTGTTCTCAGCGACTGCGCAATCGACAGAGCAAAGTCGTCGTGTCGCTTGTCATCAGACCTCACCCCGCGCACAGTGTGTTTCGAAATCAATATACTTACGAACAAGTTAATTTTCGCAGGCGAACTTCCTCGTTGAACGGCAAACAATTAGACCTCGAAGCGTATCACATGTTATTTTATGTAATATCCATGATCGTGCCACAATCATCCTGTACGCGACCAAGTCCCAATCGCAACAGGTGATTTCCAGTAACTCTCGTTCGTGTTTCACCAGTCGAGTACTTTCGGAGTCCCGCCCTGCCTGGTTGTGTGTCGGCGGCGCAGCGGGCGGGCAACACCGCTGCTGCAGCCGCCATCGCCGCCGCCGCCGCCGCCGCCGCCGCTGATGGGGTTAATTGTCAAATGGAGCGCCCTCACAGGGAGCGGGCAAAGGCCGGAGGCCGTCCTCGCCTTGAACACAGAGCGAAGCGCTGCGGACAAATTTAGTTCGGACACAGCGAAGATCCTTGAACTGCGATGGAGACCGAAGAGAGTTCTTGATTCCTACGAGCTCCTTCTATCTTTTTACTTGATTTGTATGAGAAGAGTTTCCAAATCAAAAAAGGATCAATTATTGTGGAAACTAAATAAATAAAAGATTCCCTAAAAGTTGAGCGCAGATGAAGTGAATGGGTCCCAGGTGCGGAATGGACTTTCAGCTCATATGATTCATTGCATTGAGTATTACTGGAGCCAGAACTCGCTCAGATGCCGATTCAGAACTGCTGTTTTGAGAGTTTGTAGTACTATCTTCGGGGAGTTTGTGGTTTGTTATAAAAGCAAACGCCCTGATTCTGGAAAAAATACGAATGCGAAACTGTTCGTACTTCAAATTAATTGTTTTTCGTTACACGTAAATCCTGTATGATTGACCTAGCTTTCTCAAATCCTCGCAAAGGTTGCGCTTGCACTCTCGTTTCTTCATCGCGTGCTTCGAACAGCGGAGGGCGCTTGCCAACTTAGTCTCACGATCTGAGAGATCGCGTTTATACTTGCAACGCCTGCAAAGGCCATGAGTTAGAGATGCGCTCTTTGTTATAAGATAAAGCGACGGAGCAAATATTGATCTGAGAAAGCTACTCATCAAATGCAATTTGTCGTAGTACGTCTCTTATGAATTTTATTTTAATATGATATCCACAAAACTAGACTAGACTGCTCCGGCCAGTCTTTTGTCAGAACTCTCTTTATTATTAATAAATAAACGACACAACCATTATCCTACGTTTCCGGTCTTTCCATTATATTTCGATTTTCTTTATTTTCTTCTTCCAAGCCCCTTACTTACTCTGGAATTCGCTGGGATGGGATGGTTGACCATCAACACGTTATTGTCAGAGCTCCCGAAAAGTGTTTCTCAATTTGTGTACTTTCATCAATTTTATGAAACTACGTAAAATAGCCAATATTACAACGCTTTCTTTGGTCGAGAAATAAACAGGATAACACCTCTCTCCTGGGAAATGACTGTTATTAAGATGCATCACTTTTCTTGTACATCGGCGACATATCGCCGAGAAAGCAAACGGAATAACATTAACACGATGGCAGAGAAAGACATGTTTTCGAAGCTTGTTACGTGTTTCGAGATAACAATCCCAACTGGACATCTCTCGGATTCGGGCCCACAAGTGACACATGCAACTCAGTAAGACTTAAGGCGGCTTGAATACAAATAACGGACACATACCTTGATTGGAGATAATGTGTTGACATTGGAACGCTTTGCTAAGCGCTGCCGTCCGTTTCGCGAGGGTCAGCCGCTGCGCATTTGGAATAAACGAGCGCGCGACCTTCACGTGCTTGCTTGCCCCCGGCTCCTGGCCTCCAGCGGCACAGGAACGCCGGCTGCAGGCGCAAATCGCTCTGCCGAATCTGTACCCCCCGTGTTGAATGAACAGCCGGCGAAAAGAGCAGATGGAACATCAAATTAAGCTCATCCATTTCGAAAGATTTTGAAGAAGATAAAATATTCCTTCGGATAGTGTAATGTAATAAATGAATTATAATAACTATTATATAGCTAATAACTTTTAGGCAAATGCGCCGGGTGACTGCTTGAATTCTCGGCAAGGTAGTCTGAGGTAGCTCACTTCTCGAATCGGAGAAGCAGGAGCTTCCCGAACCTGGCGAAGGAAAATATCACGTCAACATTTGTAGGTTTATTTACATAACATTGAATAAGTCATGGAATTTTGACAATGAAGAGCAATAAAGAGCCAATAAAATATCATAAAATACTTTCATTTCTAATTTTACGTGATTATTCTCAGAATATGGACTCTAATGAAAGTAAAGACTATGACCTTGGTCTTCAACCACCTGTTGTTTAGTCTCAGTATTTCTCATCAACAATTAGATTATTGATATCAATAGTTTCCTGATAAACACACTATTATTGAAATATAATATTTTACTTATTTTTTAATGTTGAAATGAAAATATCTTCCTAGGATGAAGAAGTTTCAGTACTTGAAGCCTTCATGGTAGAAAAAGATTCTAAAAATTGAAGCATGTGAAATGAACTTATGGGCGCAGTTAAGAAAGAAAGAAAAAAGAAATATATAGATAGATAGATAGAGAGAGAGAGAGGGAGAGAGAGAGAGAGAGAGAGAGAGAGAGAGAGAGAGAGAGAGAGAGAGAGACATACATACATACATACCAGAAAAATTCCGAAGACCGAAATAATTTATTTATGATTTCTTGTGCAGACGTAATGAAATGTGAAAGGTTTATGACATAATTGCCCATAATTACTCATTGGGCATGGGCATGGTGTGTCTCTCCCAAGGCTGATACTGAGGTGTCTCGCAGGTCTGATACTCAAGCTCGTTTTTCTGCCTTTATCAATTTTCTTTCCATCCTAAGGTATACTTTTGTGGGCCACATCCATTTGTAGAGAGCTATGAACATACACAGTCGCCTACCATACAGGCTTCTTTCAGCATCAAATCCAACAGATGATATTTCTGTGAGTTAAGTAAGATACGTAAGGTTTCTACGCAGGTCAATATGAAAACCGCAAATATTAATAGTATGGTGGTAGATCAGCGCCAGTAAATTAATCAGATTCATTGAAGTTGTGGATGTTCGAGTCATTGAATATATCAAGCTACTCGAAACAATAGATCAAAGTTTTATGGTGCAGAGGCCGTTTTTTAATAAGTCATTTGTCACGTAGACAATACCGGTTCGACATCGGTCTCCGAGTAATCCATAAAAGATTTTGCGAAATGCAACAAAAAGTCAGGATTCGACAAAACAGAGGAAACGAATTCCTCAGCGCGGAGAAAACCTGTTCACCGTGTATTGTTTTGATTGAGATATCTGCTGCGGAAAGGCGAGTGGCCGCTGTCGCGCAGTGTGACGCAACGCCTTTCGTCATGCGCCGAATTCGGGAAGGTCGGGCGGCGGCGGCTGCCCCGCCCGCCGCGCC